TGTTATATCACTCTCTTGGCCAAATCCTAAACCTCCTTTGTCTCTCCGTACTTGTACTGCACCCACCTGGCAAAAACCTAAATCTGTATGAATGCCACAGTCTTCCTTCTCCATACCTCAGACAGCTGAGTACAGCAAGAGAAAGTTCCCTAAACAAGCAGAAGATTCCACCATAAGCTTAATCACCAACTGCTTGTAAACAACACCCAACAATTCTATCTTTCTCTAGCCAAACTGCCATGTGAGTCTTCCAACCTGCCTTCTCCCCAAATGTCCATTCCCAAGCAGATGGTCTGACCTGGTAAAAGCATCAGACAAAAACTCTCTCAACTGCCTCTCTCTCCCTCAGTGTCCATCTGTCTATCCACCTGTCCTCCCTTTCTTTACTTCTACAAAAGAGGAAAGGATATATTCCCAAGGTCAATCCTTCCATGTGTACTCTGGAGCCCATTCTTAGGAAACTTGGACTTTTAATTATTCCCTTTTTCCAGAGGTTCAACTCCTGTCTAATGGGAACTTCCTATCAGCATTTACTCTGTCCTCTTAGAAAACAGAAGAGAGGGCGGAAAGGAAAAGGAAAAGAAAAGGGAAGAAGAGAAGAAAAATCTCCTTTGTTGTCAAATTCCCTCCCACTATGCCCATCCCATATCACAGCCAAACTTCAAGACCTATCTACCCATCTGTTTACTAGAGGTCCTCTCTGCATATCCCATCTATGTGGGGGTTTCCATAGAGAACATCAATACTCAAACAAAATAAGAGCTGCTTCCGCTTAAGTGGAGATAGACTATCGCTCAGTCCCCACCTCAGCATTGCTCAGTAAACCTGAGGTTCTGTGGAACCGTTAGATACAGCTAGGCTCCTCTTCAAACAGTTTGTCCAGTTCCCCTGTTATTTATTCCAAGTTCCAGCCCCCACTCCCCCCTTTTGCTGAGCTTTAACCTGTCTAAATATGCCTAGACATGCCACAGCCCTGTTTCCTTATGTGGGAATAGGTTAGCTTTCTAGTCACCTGTAGGTGACCCCTTCCTCCCCTCCCTCTCTCCTCTATCACGTGCCTACCTTGTCTAAGAAAGTTTAAATGTTTAGCCAATCGGGACTAGTTTAGATTGTGTGGTCCAACCCCAGCCAATGGGGGAAAGACACAGGACAGAATCTGCGTTGTTCTCCTTTGTTCTGTGTGTTCTCGTGGTGGCTAGGCCTATGAGCGACACTCTTCTGCAGAAGAAAATTGACCTTGCTGAAAAATTCTCTGAGTGCTCATTTTCTTTGTGGCCCTGAGCTTTTACTTCCAATAGAACCTATAAAACCACTGCTCAAGGCAAGCGAAACAGGTATGTAGACTTGTCCCTCGAACACTGTGCCACTGAGTCTTAGTTCATCTTTTTCCCTTAAACTTGAAATGCGAACAAATGAAAATTCCATGAGAAGCAGCAGCCGTTTCATGATATATCTATCGTCAATGTCTTGAAGAATGATGGGTACACAGTAAGTACTCAACAAATACACACTAATTGAATGATGCTCTTCCTCCTAAGTGCCTGTCAAAGTCAGTCTTCAGTGTCATACAAATAGGATCTTATTTTTAAAATATTCTACAATGCTGCTACATAGAATGAAATTATGTGTACTACACATGTTAAGCAGTAAGCCAGGCACTGAAGGTACAGAATGCAAGACACAGTTCCTGCTTTTGAAAGCTCTCGGTCTGGAACTCTTATAATATGGTCTTTATGCAATTCTACTTTACATACATTTATTTAATTCTACCACTACATGAATACCTATCATGTGACAAACCCAGACCCTATATTACTCCTAATATCTTATTTATCTTAAAATGATCACAAAGATCTGACTTAATTCCTGAATTGCATTTAAAATAATTATGGAAAAAGTATTTAAAATATTTTCTAAGGTAAATCATAGGAAGATAGGAAGAAAAATCATGTTTCTTAACTACTACTTTTTTTTTTTTCTGAGACAGGGTCTCACTTTGTTACCCAGGCTGAAGTGGAGGGGCGTGATGTTGGCTCATGGCAGCTTCAATCTCCTGGGCTCAAGCGATCCTCCCATCTCAGACCCCCCAAGTAGCTGGTACTACAGGCACACGCTGCCACAACCAGCTTTTTTTTTTTTTTGTATTTTTTATAGAGATAGGATTTTGTGATGTTGCCCAGGCTGGTCTTGAACTCCTGAGCTCAAGTGATCCGCCTGCCTCGCAGCATCCCAAAGTGCTAGGATTACAGGCATGGGCCACTGCACCCAGCCCCCACAACTACTTCTTGTTCACCTATCAACTATGTAACTAGATTTCAATATAAACCAGCTTATGTTTAAAAAGAAACTTCTGGCCAGGCACAGTGGCTCACTGTAATCTCAGTACTTTGGGAGGCTAAGGCAGGAGAATCACTTGAGCCCAAGAGTTCGAGATCAGCCTGGGCAACACAGCAAGACCCCATCTCTATAAAAAGTTGTAAAACTTAGCTGTGTATGGTGTGGTGGTGTATGCTTGTAGTCCCAGCTACTCAGGAAGCTGAGGCAGGAAGCTCACTTGAGCTCAGGAGGTCAGGGCTGCAGTGAGCCAGGATCACGCCACTGTACTCCAGCCTGGGCAACAGAGCAAGACGCTGTCTCAAAACAAAATAAAAGTTTTAAGGTTTCTCAGCTATACAAATAAATGATAATCAAATATTGCTTTTAAAAAAGTTTTGAGACCTAATCTCACTCTGTTGCCCAGGCTGGAGTGCAGTGGCATAATCTCAGCTTACTGCCAACTCAACCTTGCAGGTTCAAGTGATTCTCCTGCCTCAGCCTCCTGAGTAGCTGGGACTACAGACGTGCACCACCATGCCTAGCTAATTTTTGTATTTTTGTAGAGACGGGGTTTTACCATGTTGGCCAGCCTGGTCTCAAACTCCTAGCTTCAAGTGATCTGCCCGCCTTGGCCTCCCAAAGTGCTAGGATTACAGGCATGAGCCACCATGACTGGCCAAAAGTATTCTGAAATATAAAACATGTCTACCCTTTAGTCCAACAATCCTACTTTTTAGGCTATCCTAAATATAAACATACATATACATACAAGAATGTACATATATCTACTGGCCTAGAGGTTAGTGGAATGAGAATATCATGAAATGAAAAAAGAGACTTCCAGAGAAATACGTATGATTTTATTTTTGTTATTAAAAAAGGAAAAATGCAAACAGAATATATATATAATTACATAAACACAAGCAAGGAGGTGGAAGGTGGTATAGTCTGAATGTTTGTGTTTCCCCAAATTCATACATTAAAATTCTAAACCCCAAGATGATGATGGTGTTAGAAGGTGGGACCAGCTGGGCATGATGGCTCACACCTGCAATCCTAGTACTTTGGGAGGCTGAGGTGGGTGGATCACCTGAGGTCAGGAGTTCAAGACTAGCCTGACCAACATGGAGAAACCCCATCTCTATTAAAATTACAAAATTAGCTGGGCATGGTGGTGCATGCCTGTAATCCAAGCTACTCGGGAGGCTGAGGCAGGAGAATCACTTAAATCTGGGAGGCAGAGGTTGCCGTGAGCCGAGATAGAGCTGTTGTACTCCAGCCTGGGCAACAAGAGTGAAACTCTATCTCAAAAATAAAAATAAAAATAAAAAGAAGAGGTGGGACCTTTGGGAGGCAATTAGATTATGACAGCAGAGCCCTTATGAATGGAATTAGTGTCCTTTAAAAGAGTTCGGGGAGAGACCCTTGACCCCTTCCACCATGTGAGAACACAGCAAGAAGGCACCATCTACGATCCAGTAAGAAAGACCTCACCAGACACCGAATCTGCTAGCACCATGATCTTGTACTTCCCCACCTCCAGAGCAGTAAGAAATAAATTTGTTTATAAGCCACTGATTTTATGGTGTTTTGTTATGGCAGCATGAATGAATCAAAGCAGAAGGATACAATCCAACTATTAATGTTGGTTGCTTCACAAACTGGAAAAAGAGAGGATTGCTTTCCAGATACTCCTCTATGTTGTTTGACATAAGGGCATATACCAGTTTTGTAATTGCAAAGTTTATTCTTTTAAATGTGCAAAAAGGCTTTTTCTTGTGCTTTAGTTCTAAATATGAGCATTCGCCAAGTTCTGGACTTTTGCCATGCAATCATGCTACAAATACAAGCCACTATATGGCTCTGAGCAACTGAGGGGCAAAAGGGAGAAGGGTGGAGGTTGTGTATTAGTGACAACTTATCTTCTCAGCAAGAGGCCTAATATGCTGAGGGGTGGGAGAGGAAAGGAGGAAAATGCTGAGAGAAGGCATTTAACACACATGCAAAAATGTTAACAGGAAACAAAAAAAACAATGTTAAGAAACACTAAAACAACATGAACATGGAAGTGATTGACAGATTCCCAAGCTTGTTTAAAATCCTAAGTAAAAGGTCAATTAAGCAATAATATATTCGAGATACTATACATTTTCAATAATGTTTTCCCCAGTTTTGGACAGTATTGCAGTTGTAAATAAAATTGCACATATTACTCTCTTTTAGGAACTGTATTTTAACATCAGCAAATATTCCAAAAGCCCTAAGAATCACTACTAGTTTTGAGCACTTTAGGAAAAGTAATGTTTTACCTGTTTTCAAAAACTGCGCTGTAAGCTGTCATGTATCTGATATAATCAGGCAATGCGCAGGCTTTGGGATGACTGCTACTATTCCCACCATCTCCTCATATCTGTACAGTACTTTACAGTTTATAAAGTTCTTTGATATACATAAATCAAATATTCCAGCTAAGAGAAAACAATTAAAGTAAAATATATACATCATTACAAACATACACAACAATTTAATCTCTGATGATTAAAAAGGTTGCAGAGAAATAAAATGTATTACCATAAGCTATTATAAACATCAATTTACTGGACAGTAGATTCTTATTTTCATAAACAAAAAACTGAGGCTGAGAAACTATGACAAGACCAAAAGTTTAACTTTTGGTGGGGAGGGGAATCTTTTTTATTTTTATACACATGACAAGATTTTACATCAAGAATAGTCAGTTAAATAGTACAAATAAGGTATGTTAAAAAAATTCAACTAAAAAACCCACTTCTTCCTGTAACCCATAATCCCACATTTAACAGTGCAGGGAGAAGGGGACTGGTGGAGTGCATCAAAAACAAGTCTCTCCCAAAAGAAATGACTTAAATTTCACATTCCCTCTCCACACAGGATCCAAACAGTGAGAGTATAATTTACAATTCATCTTTTTCAGCTGTAGATTCCTTTGCTGTTTCTTGTTCTTCATCTGTTCCCACACCCATTTCTTTGTCTTTGTCTTGCTCTGCGTCTTCTGTTGTCTCCTCAGGTTCTTCTTTGGGTTCTTCCATCTTTGCATCAGGATCAATGTTCAAACTGAGGCGAGGCATTCTTTCTATTCTATGTCCATATGCTTTAGTGTCTGGTAAAAGATATCCTGACTGGAGCATTACTGCTTCAAACAAAACCATAGCAAGATCCAAAACTGTTTTATCATCTTCATCTTCCTTAATTCGTTGAAGCATGTCTCTGATCAGCGGATGTCTGGGATTAATTTCAAATGTTTTCTTCTGACTCACATGGTAATTTGTAGAGATGTCCTTGCCCGTTTGGTATGCTTGTGCTTTCATGATTCTCTCCATGTTGCCAGACCACCCGTACTGGCTGGCCACCAAAGCACATGGAGATTCTGTCAGGCACTGAGATACCACAGCCTTTTCAATCTTGCCCTTAAGGGCTTTATCTTTCATCCAATTGAGCAGAGGCTCTAATTCTTTCTCAACTGCTTTATGACTCTACTTAGTTTTCTCACTTTCATCAAACTTCACTCCTTCCTTGGTAACATTCTGGAACCTCTTCCCATCAAATTCGGGAAGGGCCTGAATGCAGTATTCATCCACAGGTTCTGTGAGGTAAATAACTTCATAGCCCTTTTTCAGAAGTCACTAAACAAATGGAGAAGATTCAGCCTCTTTTCTGCTGGACCCAGCCATGAGGTAGATTTTGTCTTGTTTTTCCTTCATTCTTTCCACATACTGGTGTAGGCTAGCAATGTCGGTTGGATGATGAGAAAACTGGAACCTAAGAAGTTTAGCAAGACGTGTTCGATTCGAGTGGTCTTCAATCACGCCAAGCTTAATGTTGGTACCAAATTCTTTCCAAAAAGTATCATTGTATTTCTCATCAGCAATCTTCTTGATCATGCGCAGAGTTTTACAGACATGTTTCTTCCTAATCACCTTAAGCAGTTTATGTTGCTGAAGAGTCTTGCAGGAAACATTCAAAGAGAGACCATCTGAGTCCACCACACCCTTGACAAAATTAACGTACTTAGGCATCATAACATGGAAGTCATCTGTGATGAATACGCAGCGCACACAGAGCTTAATGTAATTGCTCTTTTTAGATCCATATGCGTCAAATAGGCCACGTGGAACAAATGTGGGTACAAACGAAATTGATTTGAAGGTAACTTCCCCTTCAGCAGTAAAGTGAATATAAGCCACAGTGTCATCACTTTCCTTTGAAAATGATTTGCAGAAAGCTTTGTATTCATCTTCTACTTCTTTGGATGGTCTCTGCCATATTGGTTTGATTGTCCCATTCACAGACAGTTTTTTCAACTTTTTTAGTCTTCGGTTTCTTTTCTCCTCCTCTTCTTCTTTCTTCTTCTTCTTCTTCTCATTCTCCTTCTCTTCTTCTTTCCTTTCTCCTTTCTCCTTTCTCCTTCTCCTTCTTTCTTCTTCTTCTACAGCTTCATCATAAGATTCTTCTTTCTCTTCTTTTGCTGCTGCTTCTTCCTTCATGGGCTCCTCAGCAGTTCCAGTCTTGCTGCTCCATACATAAATAGGAAGGTTTATGAACTGTGAATATTTCTGACAAGATTTTTAATTGTATCCAATTCAAGGTAATCAAATGCTTTTTCTTTCAAGACAAGGGTAATTGTCGTTCCCCGTCCTAGAGTGTCTCCTCTTGAGTCAGCAATTACAGAATATTCACTGGAGTTGGACTCCCAGATGTCCTGGGTATCATTGTTGTGTTCTGAAGTGACAATAACCTTATCTGCTACAAGGAAGGTGGAATAGAAACCGATGCCAAACTGGCCAATCAATTCAGGAAGTTGACTGGCCATCTTCCTGTGCTTCAGTCATTTTGTTTAAAAACTCGTTTGTCCCAGATGTGGCAATGGTACCAAAGTTTTTAATCAACTCTTCTCTGGTCATTCCTACACCAGCGTCTGTGACATGCAGCAGGTTCTTCACCTTATCACACTTAATTTTGACTGTTAGTTCCTCATTTCCAGAAAGAGCATTTTCATCAGTCAGTGATATTAGCCTTATCTTACCTAAAGCCTCAGAATCAGTTCTCTCAGGAAAATCTCTTTATTTTCATACAATGAATTGATGAGAAGTTTCATCATTCTGTTAACTTCAGCTTGGAAGGCAAACTTTTCGGACTCTTATTTATGATGCATTTAATTCATTCAACTGAATAGCTTCTTCCTCTCTCTGTACTACTTCATCATCTGTCCTCGAACCTTCTCTACTTTTACCCAGATCCTCTTCTCCTGTACCATCCACATAAACTTCATCATCAGCTCTGACCGACCCGAAGGTCAGCAGGACACGGCAGAGGCCCAGCACCCACAGGGCCTTCATGGTGTGCGGCTGGTGAGTCTCAAGTCCCTTTCGATCGCAAGAGCTGCCTCCACCCTCTCACTCCTGGGCTGATAGTCACACCTCCAGCCGCATGGTCCGCCCACAAATTTAACTTTTATAAGCAAAGGTCAATTCTCTGAACAAAGTCTACCCCACTGGGCTATGGCAGATAGTTAATAAGTAATCCACTCACAAATTTTTCTTTATACATAAAGAGCAAACACGGGAAAATCTAGGCTATAATCCTTGTCAAAATATTTCTTATACCACTTCTCATTAAAGGGCTAAAAAAATACTAATATGGTTTCATATCATGAGATGATGACTTTGCAAAAAAGGATTCCTATAACTGCATATAGATTTTCCAAGTTGGAAAACTGAAAAATCTAATTTCAGAAATATAAGTAGGCATTCAACATATATGCCAACATGCTAATCACAAAAGAACAAAACATACTTATCTATTTACTTCTAGACAGAGCAAAGATAAACTAATTTTACAATGCTTTCTACCCACTATAGGCATTGTACACAGATTAAATAAAACTTTTCCAGGAAAACATGCCATATACATGAAGCCAATAAGATACACTTTCCAGATATTTAGCAAAGTCCAATATAGCGAAGGGAATGAAGAATGGGTGAATTCACAAAGTAGTAAGATTTCATAAATCATCTAAAATGAGTAAGAACTAGAATTCAAGTACAAGATTCAAATAAGGTTAAGTGATAACCCGAAAAGGCCATACAAAGTAAATCCATTTAATACAGAGTCCCAGTTTTACAATAAATAGTGGGAATAAAAAGCTTGATTTGGACATTCTTTTGAAAACGTTTTAGTTTATCTTATATGTAATACAATTCAGATTATAATGAAAACTATGTGCTTATTCTTAGAACACAAAAAGAGCAAATTAAATGTTGCCTTTGTGGCAAAATTTTTTCCAAAAAATTGTATGCTAGCCTAATTCAAAGTCATTTGATTTTCACAGGGCAATCATAAAGTTTTTGTTTTCAAAACACTCAAAAGTTACATTAAGCTTCCCTAGTGCCTCTCTTAATGTTTTAATTTTCAAATCATTCTCCCTTTAATACCTGTATCTCAAAAGCACTGTTGGTCTTTCTCTTGTTTACTTTTTAACTGGTCTAGTGAATGCTGTAATATCCAAGAATCACCTGAGAAGCTTAACATACAAACAAATTACAAGTCAGGACAGAAGCACATGCTAAATGAAGACAGGTTTTTGAATGGGTACTAATTTGATAAGTCATACATGAGTGAATATTTTGCTTTCCTTCACAACTTCCCTTGCAACCTCATAACTACGCAAACTTGGATAACAAATTCATAGCCAATGAGAAATCCCTGTGTGTGCATTTATATTAACCGTATATGTAACAACAGGGGATATAAGTCTTGGTCTGAATGCCTTAGGGTATGTAAATGTATCTTGATCAGGACCACACGTATAAATAATTTTTTGTAGTGTAATATAATACTGTACCAAGGTTGTCAGGGAGTTCCTTTTCATATAGAGTCTCTCCAAGTACTGCAGTCCCTCATCTTTCAGTAACTCCAATGGAAAATGGTGCAGATTCCTATAATTTAAGAACAAATTCTTGTGCTTTTCCAGCCTTGCCACAGAGATCGTCTTACAAAGTTCGGACGCCATGACTGAATATATCCCATCAGGCACACTGCAGTACTATATCTTGTCAAAATTGGTCCATTTCTATAAAGAGAACAAGAAAATTTATTCATTATAAGATTTTTTACAAGCATTGCCACATAAACCAGTTAGCACCCACAGCTACTTGAAGACACTGAAAAAGATAATTATATTAATACATTCAATCCTACATTTTATTTTCATAACAACTAAAATTGTCACACATATTTAGGAGATTAAAATGAATAACAATTTAATAAAAATACTCTGATTAAACAATATTTATTATTTATTAGAAATAGTCCTAATGGAAAAAATAGTTTTTGCACTTGAGATAGGAACCCTTGTCTAAGAAAAACAGTGACCAGTTTCATAACATGCAACCAAAGGAGAAGCTTAAAAATCAAATGCAGCAAACCCCATTTCTTTTATGAACTACCTCATTTTGTATTTAGCTTAAGGTACTTCAAAAATATTAAAATATATATTATTTATATCTAGAGCATTAATAGCTTCATTTTCTTCACTTCCTAGTATGTAAATATTGTCCTATATTCTGATTTTTTTCTTTATCTCTTTATTCTTTTCTTTTCTTCTTATTTTGTTTTTAGAGACAGGGTCTCACTTTGTTGCCCAGGCTAGGCTGCAGTGCTCAATCATAGCTCACTGTAGCCTCAACTTCTGTGCTCAAGTGATCCTCTCACCTCAGCCTCCCAAGTAGCCGGTACTATAGGCAGCACCACCATACTCAGCAAATTGTTTTATTTGTTTGTAGAGATGGGGGTCTCACTGTGTTGCCCAGGCTAGTCTCAAACTCCTGAGTTCAAGCAATCCTCCCACCTCAGCCTCCCCAAATGCTGGGATTACAGGTGTGAGCCACTGTGCCTCGCCTCTTTGTTTTTAGCTTTATGGATTATCAGAGGCATCAAAGAAATAGATCCAGGGCCACACAGTTTCATGATTTTAAATTATTTCAATGAAAGAAGAAACACTGCACTCGGAAACAAGAATCCTGTATTATTCTATAATACTACAATGTCTCTGGGTCTCCAGTTGCCTAATATACAGAAAGGAGATAGCAACTAATGTACTGGTTTAAAGGCCGGAGTCCAGGGCAGATTATTATAAATTCTCTTCTAGCTCCAAAATTGACAAGGGCAAGAACACAAGTAACATTTGCCATTTTATCCACTAGGCACAGAACTAAAACAAACTTCACCATCAGTTAACACAAAAAGAAACAAACTAAAGGCTTCAGTAATTTGTCCAAGGTCAAACTGTTCACAAGGGATAAAGGCAAGGGTTTGATGCCAGGTCCAATGAATTTCAAAGTCTGGGTTCTTTACAGACACTGACTCACAAGATTCCACAGGATACTAAGGAAATGCTGAAACAACTACAAAGAAGTTGAGCTTTGCTTAAAGATTTGACTGTTTTCCTCAGCACTTTTTCCCAACTCTCTCTTGGAAAGTACCTTTCAATATTTTTTTTTTTTTTTCCTTAAGGAAAGTGATTTTCACTGGGAATTAATACCAAATTAGTACAAAATGCAGCAACATAAGCTTTCAATAAACAAGAGTTCTGTAATTTTCTGGTTATATTTTATTATTTCCAAATTCTAATTCCTAGCTAATGAGCTAGCACTTGCCATTTTATACCAAAAGGCAAAGTATGAAATATTAACTATTTCCAAAGCAACATAAGGATCCAATACTTTCCCACATTTATTCCACCTACTCACCTATTTTATGAGATATATTATGTGACTTTGTACAAGATATATCTTTCCACATCTTAATTCTCCTATCTGTAAAGCAAAGGGAAGTAGACTACAAATAACATCAATGATTCTGTGTAGAAAATGAAACTTTTTAGGTAATTATTCACTGAACTAGTAAACTGTTAGCAGTTGAGATGCCTCACAACCATCTCAAACTTAACACATTCAAAGAGCTTTCCATTTTCATCATCAATCCAAATCTCCATAGTTTTTCCCATCTCAATAAATGACCCACCCCTCCATCCACCATCAGGAAGTCATGAATGATTCCATCCTCTCATATTCTGACCACCTCCAATCTATCACAAGGCTAGTGGCTTCCATCTCCCAAAGACATCTCAAATCCATCCAAATCTCTCCATCTGCCAAAACCACAAGCCACTGTCATTCCCTGCCTGGCCAACTGTATTAGTGGTCTCCCTGTGTCCACTCTGGTCACTTCCAACTCATTAATCCCAGCAGTGGGCCTTTAAAAATGTACATCCAATTACATCTCACTCTTTCCGGCACACATCTTACTAAATAAACCCTTCAGAAACCTCTTATTCAGAAAATCAAACCCTTTACCAGGCCTTGAGGGTGCCTCACCATCTGCCCCCACCCACTTCTCCAGCAACTCTGCTTGGCTTCTCACCAAGCTTCTGGGTTTTTCCAATCCTTAAAGCTACCAAACTCCTAACAGCACTTGCTGCTCTCCTCTTAGCCTAGAAAGCAATGTCCCATCATTCTCCAGATTTCAACATAAAAATCACTTCCCGAGGCCAGCCGCAGTGGCTCACACCTGTAATCCCAGCACTCTGGGAGGCCGAGGAGGGTGGATCACCTGAGGTGAGGAGTTTGAGAACAGACTGGCCAACCTGGCAAAACCCCATCTCTACTAAAAATACAAAAATTAGCTGGGTGTGGTGGCAGGTGCCCGTAATCCCAGCCACTCGGGAGGCTGAGGCAGGAGAATCGCTTGAAGCCGGGAGGCAGAGCTTGCAGTAAACCGAGATCACACCACTGCACTCCAGCCTGGGCGACAGAGACTCGGTCTTAAAAAAAAATAAAAATAAAAAAATAAATAAAAATCACTTCCCTATCCCAAAGTACTCCCCTGGTGTTCTTTCAGAGGAACTTGGCTGTTTGTTTTTCCTTCGTAGGACTCCTCACAATTTGTCACTTAAATATTTATCGTTGCACCTGTTTATTGTCAATAAAGCCAAAAAGCCTGCAAATAAACCCTTCAGAAACTTATTTAGAAATCCTGAGGGCAGGGACTGTGTTGTTTTCTTCACGCTTGCATACCTGCATCTAGCACAATAACTAAAAGTAACCCTTCCTAATACCTAGGTGATGGGTTGATAGGTGCAGTAAATCACCAAGGCACAAGTTTACCTATGTAACAAACCGGCATATTCTGCACATGTATCCAGGAACTTAAAATAAAATTTTAAAGTAAGCCTTCTAATATCTGACGACATGTGGAAGAACATTGTAAGCTTGATTTTTCATCCACCTATGTCAACACCACGGATAGAGCCTATAAGCTTGCTACATGCCACAGGGATGTCTAATCTTTACAATCGTGCATTGCAATAGACATATGTAGCCCGTTTTGCAGAGGAGGAAACTGAGTTTCTCGGAGGGTAACATGCCATAGTTCCATCGCAGGTGAACTGACTGCAAAGCCTGTGCACCGCCGCCCTACAATGCAAAACCACACTCACTGAGGCAAGATTCAGTAAGAGATTCCCTGTAACCTGACGGCTTTCCTTCTGAATGTTCTAGCTGGGATTGGCTGCCTCAAAAACACCATTAAACTCTGTTAAAATTGCTACAAAGGCTGTTTGGGAGATAAAATCTAAACAAATGAAATCCTAAAACTGCCAATAATGACAATAAAGCATCAACAATGCTCATAGTTTTGCAGTATGCATTCACGGGCCATACACAGCCTTTAACAAGGTAATTTTCTTACTCCATTTCACTTTACTACATCTTAACCTAGTTAAGCAAACTACCTCTTGTATAGTTATACTACCTCTTACGTAGTTAAGGCAAATAGTATTACTTAATATCAGCTGTATACAGCTGCACCTACACACGAGCTTCCTGACAGGTGAACACCAATCTATCTTATTAAAAACAAAACAAAAAAATCAAAAACCTCTCAACAAAATTCCACACATATTAAGGAATATTTTGAAAGAAAAGAGTCCCTTAGACTGACTTGCCCGTACTCAATTTAGTAGAATACGCATTCCAATTTCCTAACGCTGGAGATGAGAGAACTATAAGCTACATATTAAAAGCATTTGTAAAAGGCTATTTTCTCAGCTCAGTGGTAATAAACACTGGCAGAGTCTTAGGCAAAACACACGCCGTTTCGCCCGAGTTAGCCAGCCACTGAGATCGTTACAGCTGGGAAGCAGTGAGCCCAGCAGCAGGGATTTCACGGACCCGGTATCAGGGTTCTCGGGTCCCAGGGGCCGCGGGCCGCAGAGTGCGAGAAGGACCCGGCAGCTGTGGCCACCCGAGGCCCGGACGGCCTCGCTGTCCCACTCGCCGCGACCCGGACGCTTTGAAAGGACCAGGTCTGGGGCGTCCCCCCCGGGGACCAGGTCAGAAAGCCCTGCCACTTGAACCACCCGACGAGGCGGACAGCTCTACTCACCTTAGCGCCAGCAGAGCCAGCGCTCTGGAGCGCAAGCGGCGCTGGAAGGCGAGCGGGGGACGGCGGGCGGGGCGGGGCAGGGAGCCGGGCGGGGGCGGGGCGGAGCGCCGGGCGTCGGGGGCGGGGCTCCGGGGGCGGAGCGGAACCCGCGCTACAGGGAGCTGGAGAAGAGGGAGCGGGAGAGGAGCAGGGAACCTCGCGATAACCCCCTGTGTTCTCGCGCTTTCACGATAGGTGTGGGAAAATGTTCGTTTGCCAAGCGATGTGTCTATTGGCCGAGAGCGCGACTTCCTCTATTCTGGCCCCGCCCGCGGCTCTACTCTTGCTTCCGGCTCCGGCGTGGGGATTGATGTCGACGGAGTGGCTTTTTGTTTAGCGTTTTGAAGGGGTAATTTAGCAGGCTCAAACCTCGGGAGCCGCCAGTTACTGGCCTGTTCCTTCATGCATACATTCATTCAGTCACTCGGCCTCTCATTCAGTAGCACACGTTGAGGGATTACAACAATGATCCCACGTAGAGCGTTCATTCTAAGAGCTGTTTATAGATTATCTCGTTGAACCCTTGACAGCAATCCCGTGACACAGGGACTAACAGCACCAGTCTGACGGTTGAAAAACAGGCCAGTGAGTTTATGTAACGAAACCAATGTTAGCAAGTAGTGAGTCTTAAGCACTAGATTTAAGGGGTCACTGCGCACTGGTAGATAACAAAGATGAGGAGGAGGTAACCTAGTCTCTGCCCTTCAAGCACCCAAGGTTTATTGTGAGAAAAGATTGCTACAAAGGACAGGAACAATTTAGAGAGTTAAATACAATGACAGTTCCTAGCATGACTGAGTAGGCTGTCATTATGTATTTCTTCAAGACAAAAATTATGTCAGCGGAATAGCATCAAAGAAAGAGAGTTTTATGCTGTTAAAAATGCTTGGAAGCATAGTTCGGAAACATTTTTAAGAGACACTTTTTAAAGTGTCTCAATATGACAAATTTCCTTCTGAAATGAAGGTTTTAAAGTATTTTCCTCTACTACAATCACTGATGTTTTTTGTTCCGTGAAAAGCCTGTCTGTTAATTTGCGAGGCTTCTTGTCAAGGAACCTTAACTTTATAATGAAGCAGTTTTACAGTGGCTGACTTAATTACTCTTAGAGATGAATAACCTAGAAAGCAGAGTTACATTAAATAAAAAACATTGGTTTCAAAACAAGGTATGAGTTATAATAAAATATTTATCAGTTATCTGTTAAATCTGGTCTTCAAGAGCTACTCAGGTATAGAGCACAGTATATGTCATGTATTTCTAAGATCGTTTCATAATACCTAAGAATTCGTGGCACTCAAATTTTTTGCTGGTCTTAAAAATGAGGAAATCCACATTTTGTGTAAAAACAAAGATACTTTTGTGGTCAACCCAAATAATAAGACTTGCTGCTAATATGTGAAGAGGTACACCCCCCAAAAAAGAAAGAAGATTAACAATAGAACAGTTTTTTCAAAATAATGTTAGCCTCTTAGTTTTCATTTTTTTTTTTTAAAAAAGGGGAATACCGTTTTTCAATGCATTAATTTAGTATCTGATATTTGATCATGAAAAATGAATCATGTTAAAATTACTTTCACCTCCTCCCCAAATTGACACAAAAGTTACCAAGTGATTATATGTGAGAGTATCCTATGACCCCACTCTTAGAAGTTCTCCCAATTTGCAGAGAATCAGTTTGCACGTTTTGTGTCTCTTGAAGGGGGAAAAAATTCTCTAAGCTGGTGATTTTATATTCTTTGACAAACTTCAATAGCAACAGGCAGCGATACCCCTTTAAGCAAATTCCAAGGAAAAGACCTCATTTTAAAATTCCCACCTCTGGCTCCCAAGGATTGGTTTGCAAACTTCGACAAAATACTCTTCTCCACTCGCTATTGGTGAGTGCCCTATCATTCATTCTTTTGCCCGGAGTTTTGTGAGGTACCCCCTTGCTTTACGGGAAAAAGCTGCTCCGGAACTGCCCTACTTTAGACTTTTTCATGGTTATCAATCTGTACAAAGAATCACCAAACTGATAAAGCAGGAACCAAAAGGGCAAGTCACGCTGCCAAGACAACTGTGTCATTCGCTCGAAAAAGAAACGGTGAGCCTCCCCAGCAGACTGGGTAAACCGGCAAAGGATTTTACGACATAGTTGGAGATTGGAGAGTTACAGAAACTTTTACGGTTTTGTTTTTGTTTTTTGTTGTTGTTGTTGTTGTTTTTACAAGTTTTAAAGGAGTGATTGAGTGTCAAAAGAAAAGCAGAGAAAAATACAAGCACAATTTAAAGATAGCAGGAAGAAGTGTTCCGAGAGTATTTTTCTCTTTAGGGTAAGGTTTGAAAGCATCATGCCCAGATTATCAGTGGATTTTTGAAAAGTAAAGGAGGCAAGATAGTAAGATTAACTACAGATCATTTTCTACTTTAAGAAACTGTGCTTCGTTTTTGTTGCTTAAATGTGGATTTAGAAGGACATTTAGTAATATTGTAATTTTTTAATGAATTTTTTTTATATTGTCATACCTGGCATAATAGATAATACATCTATTAAAAGATATAAGAGAAAATAGAATTGCTTGAACCCAAATTTTGCGTATATCTGTGGATTAGGGAATCCAGGGACAGATCTGCTAATGGCTAAATAAAACATACTATAGATACCTGAAGCCTAATCAGCATATAAGGATAAATTCTCAAAAAAGAAATCTAGCATCGCATTTTCAAAAATGGCATTTTAAATTAAAACAAATATAAAAGAGAATTTATCAAGGAAACTTAGATAAACATGAATAACTATTTCTTGAGTTGCTTCTGTTAATCTATATAGGGGAATATAAAGTAATAAAATCCAGCCCCTCAAGAACAGGGACAAATGAGGCTCAGAACATTTAAACTAAAACTTCTGAACAGTTCTTAATGCCCAGATGACTGTTGTAGAGCACAGATACTTCAGGAGCTCAGCTCTATGTGAGATGAATTATTCAGAGAAGGCTTCACAGTATGGGTAAGACTCAATTTGGGCCTGAGCAAAGGGCAGAATTTCAGAGAGAAAAGAAGGGAAGTGGCATCCCTACTAGTGAGTGAGTTGTTAGCAAGTATGTGCAGCCCGAGGAAGAGCTGGCTCTGACTGCAGCAGAAGGTTCATTTGGAAACTTTGGTTAAAAATTTATAAAAACAGCATGAGAAAAATGAAAAGCTAGAATTCCCAAAATCAAGGGTTTTGGTCCTGTGTCTGGAACAGGAGGCACACCTTATGAAAGTAATATTTGAAGACGATAAAACTGACAGTGCAATTTAAGATGACTACAAGAGCAGAGACCAGAAGCTAAGGGGCCTCCTACTGTAAATACTGGCACACAGATGAGTAACTCTGCTTCTTACCCAAATACATTTACCTTATCATTGCTGAATAATATAAATTTTGATGCATTTCTTTGTAGTCTTCGAAAGCATTGAGTTTACTTCTTAAGATTTTTGGGGACCTCTGCCACATTGTCTTGGGGAATCATGGTTGCCCCATCTTTATAAAAGTCTTGTCATAAGATGTATAAAAACCAGAATTACACATGAAACTGCATTGCGATTTCATAGCTATTTTTTACCAGCTTTAATGAAGAATAATTTATATATTATAAGGTTCATTTAAGGATATAACTCAATGATTGTTTTAGAAAATATAATAGAGTTGTACAACCATCACCACATTCCAATTTCAGAAAATTTTCATCTTCCTAAAAAAATACTTTGTGCCCATTTGCAGGCAAGTCCTGGTTTCCTATCCCCAGCCCCACTCACTAAAAAACTTTCTGTCTATAAATTTACCTTTTCTGGGCATGTAAATGGAATTACACAATATGTGATCCTTTGCATCTGGTTTCTTTTACTTAGCATAATGTTTTTGAGGTTCATCCATGTTGTAGTATGTCTCATTACTTCATTCCTTTTTGTTGCTAGGTAATAATCCACTCGATGGCAAGACCACATTTTATTTATTTAACAGTACCAGTTAACAGACATTTGGATTTCTTCCAGTATTTAATGATAGTGTTTAATTGTACTAATTGTAATTGTATTACAGTAAATACAGTACAGTATTTAGCTATTATGAATAATACTGCTATGAAGATGGGTACAAGTTTTTGTATGAACGTGTGTTTTCAGTTTTCCTGGGTGTGTATCTATGAGTGGAATTACTGTCATATGGTAACTCTGTATGTGTAACTTTTTGAGGTGTTGTACAACTGCTTTCCAAGGTGAATTCCCACTTTACATTTCCACCTGAGTGTATGAGGGCTTCAATTTGTCCACATCCTCACTAACACTCCTTATGATCTGTCTTATTCATTCGGCTGGATTTTAAGTGGTATCTTATTACAGCTTTCATTTGCATTTTCCTAATGACTGATGATACGAAGCATCTTTTCATGTGCTTATTGACTATCCATAGATCTTCTTTTGTAAAATGTCTTTCAAATATTTTTCCTTTTTTTTTAATTGGGTTGTCATCTTGTTACTGATTTATTTATTTATTTATTTTGAGACCAAGTCTTGCTCTGTCGCTCAGGCTGGAGTGCAGAGTGGTGCGGTCTCGGCCCACTGCAATGTCTGCCTTCCCGCTTCAAGCAATTGTCCTGCCTCAGCCTCCCAAGTAGCTAGGATGACAGGCGCCCATGACCGTGCCCGGCTAATTTTTTTGTATTTTTAGTAGAGATGGGGTTTCACCATGTTGGCCAGGCTGGTCTGGAACTCCTGACCTCGTGATCCACCCGCCTTGGCCTCCCACAGTGGTGGGATTACAGGCATAAGCCACCGCACCAGCCCATGTTACTAATTTTTTTTTTTTTTTTTTTTTTTTTTTTTTTTTTTGTCACAGAGTCTCACTCTGTCACCCAGGCTGGAGTACAGTGGCTCGATCTCAGCTCACTGCAACCTCCGCCTCCCAGGTTCAAGCAATTCTCCTGCCCCAGCCTCCCGAGTAGCTGGGATTACAGGTGCCCGCCACTATGCCCAGCTAATTTTTTGTATTTTTAGTAGAGACGGAGTTTCAGCATGT